CTGAGATTCAGTCCCTTGTTTTGCATCACTTTGTATATTTCATTCCATTCCCTTCTGGCCTGATGTGTTTCTGTTGAGAAATCAGTTAATATTCTAATGGGAGATCCCTTGTAGTTAACTTTCTGTCTCTCTGGCAGCCTTTAAAATTTTTACTTTGTCATTGATGTTTGCCAATTTAATTATGATGTGTCTTGGTGTCGGTCTTTTCAGGTTCATCTTGTTTGGGACTCAATGTGCTTCTTGGACTTGTGTGGTTTTTTCTTCCCAACATCAGGGAAATTTTCTGTCATTATTTCTTCAAACAGGTTTTCTATTCCTTGCTCCACATCCTCTCCTTCTGGTATCCCTATTATGCAAATGTTGTTTCGTGTTGTCCCAAAGCTCTCTTAGGCTCTCCTCCAGCTTTTTAAGTTTTCTTTCTAGGTGCTGCTGTGTTTGTGTGTTTTTTCCTACCTTGTCTTCTAATTCACTGATGCGGTCCTCAACCTCTTCTAGTCTACTGTTTAAGCCTTCTATTGTGTTCTTTTGCAGCTAGGTCATTCTTCACTTCCTCTTGATTCCTTTTCATGTTGGTGACATTTTCATTCAGCTCCTTATAATTCTCATTGAGTTGTGTGTATTTGGGATCTAGTTGTTTGAGAATCCGTATAACCATTACTCTGAATTCTTTCTCTGACATGTTACTTGCCTCCATTTCATTCAGTTCCCTTTCTAGTGATCCTCTTTTTCTTTCCTTTGGGGATTGTTTTTTTTTGTCTCCCCATTTTTTGCTGTAACGTTTTCATTGTTTCTATGTCTTAGATCCAACTGCTTTGCTACCAAGGTTCTTTTGGGGGTGGTGCTATGTAGTTTGTGATTTTGGGACCCAGCGGTGTGTTCTCTCAGGTCTCCTGGGCTTGGTGATCTAGTGGAGCTCCCTGCTTGAGCTATTTGGGTTCTCTTGGTGTAGTCGGGTCTTGAATGTTAGTTTCTTATTTGTGGATGAAGTCTTGTCATAGATTGGCAATGTGATTCACCCCCAGTTTCGTTGTGCAAGCTGTTTTGGATGTGATTGTGGTTCCAGCTTTTGTGGAAGGGGTTGCCTGAGGTCTCACTAGTATGTGCTCACTGAGGGTGCCCAGAGTCCACGGCCTGGGAGGAAGGAGTCTCGGGATCTGAGGGTCAGGTACTGTGACATTGGCTGGTGTTGTGTGACTTGCTGGAGTAGTGTCACTCTGAAACTCAATATGAGTGTCCCGGAGCCCGTGACAGTGTGGGGCAGGTGTCTCATAGTCTGTGGTTGAGGCAGTGGGACTCTGGCAAAAGTGATTTCCCTCTCTGATTCACAAGGGGGTTCAGGAGCCAGCAGCTGGGGATGTGGGAATCTGAATACTGTGGCTGAAACATTGTGACCTTGTCCAGGGAGGCAAGTCCTCAATAACTCACCAAGGTGTCCAGAGGTAGGTAGCCAGGAGGGGGATGTTGTGGATCCTGCTGAGTGAGCCGTGTGCCCTTGGTTGGAGAGGCACACACCAAGTGGCAGCTCACAGAGTGGCCCAGGAGCCATTTGTCAGGAGTGTGGTGTGCCTCCAGCCCCATGAAGGGAGAAGTCCAAGTTTCTACTTTGGGAGATGTGTGCCCTTGGTTGGACATGTGCGCCCAGCGGCTGCTTACCGAGGTGCCCAGGAGCTGTCTGCCAGGGTCATGGGCTCAGGAGAGCCCACACACTGATGCCACATGACCGTGGTGTCTGTGCGCAGACAGGCGGGGAGTGGAAAGATCAAGTTTCTGTTTCTGGGGCCATGCGTCTTTGTTTGGATACAAGTGTTCCCAGCAGGGGCTCACAGAGGCACCCAGGAGCCAGCTGTGGGGCGGTGGGCTCAGGAGGCCTGTGCGTTGGGAAGGCACAACTGAGGTGTTCAGAGGTTGGCAGCCAGGGAGGGGGAAGTCACACTTATTGCTGAAGGAGCTGTGCAACCTTGGTGGTGGATGTCCTAGTGTCTGCAGGTCTGCGGGCAGGGAAGCAGGATTTTGGCTGGTGTGGCTGCAGGGTTGTGAGCAGTGTACAAGGCCAGTCTGGCTGGCAGTGGTGATGAGTTCCTAGAGGAGGCTGCTCTCACCTTCAAGATGGTGTGGGCTCCGCGCCCAAGACCCACAGCCCAGGGAGTGCTCAAAGGGGTGGTATATGCTCCCTGTCCAGGAGAGCCTGGACTGCCAGCCTCTGATACTCCTACTGGATTTAACTGTCCCTCACTCACACACACACCACACACATCCACACACTCCCTTTTCACCCCCTCACTCACTCACACCCACTCTCTCACCTCCATCCTGCTAACCGCCACCTTCAGAATCCCACATTAGCACTCTTATTGAACACCTGCCGTGTGCCATGCTTGTTTAACTAAGTAAGCAAGAATCAATGATCTGAAGCAAGGATTCACATTCAACTCAGTACCACATATCTTACCTTTTCATCCACCTCTATCTCATAGTCACTCAGGACCACACAAGAAAAAGGCAAAAATGGGCAGAAATGATGTACATATTTAAAAATTAAATGGAAGTAAGTATTGGCTAGCATTTTAGATTTAAGGAGGCTGCCTGATATTTTCAGCACCCTCCACCAACTGTAAAAACAGGGATGAAAAGCCATCATTGCATGGGATAATTCATGGCAATGATTACTAAGAAGCACCAGTATTTTAGATTTACCAAGTTCTTTTTACAATTTTTTTTTAGACATAGAATGTTCTCTTACAGTTTCTCAGCTCTTCTTCCATCTTCCATTAAACCCCTTAAGTCTTCTTTCCCATTTAAAGGAGCCTACTATGCCTGCCTACTGTGGCTCGGTGGTTGAGCATTGACCCATAAACCAAGAGGTCCTGGGTTCAATTCCCAGTCAGGGCACCCTCCTAAGTTGCAGGTTTGATCCCCAGTAGGGGGGAATGCAGAAAGCAGGCAATCGATGTTTCTAGCTCTCTATCCCTCTACCTTCCTCACTCTCTCTCAAAAAATAAAAACATATTTTAAAATATTTTTTTTCAAAAGGAGCCTACTATACTCCCAGGAAGTCCTGTATATCTTTCACCTGTTCATCCATCCTCCACAAGCAATGGTTTCACTGTTGAATCTTCTATCCCTTCTCCGTTTCTCAGCAAATATTCTTACCACATATTTCACAGAGAAAATCTGAGTCATTGTGATTACTCTGTGAACTGCACCCTCTGAACCACACATAAATTGGCATGCACTTTTTCCACATTGCCATATCATTCACACCATTTCCCTTCTCTCTGAAGACAACATTCACCTTCACTTTGAATCCCGTCATACTTCTCTTATCAATTATCCTTACACTAGAGGTCTGGTGCACAAAAAATTTGTGCACTCTGCGGGGGGGTGTCCCTCAGCCTGGCCTGTGCCCTCTCACAGTCTGGGACCCCTCAGGGGATGACCACCTGCTGGCTTAGGCCCGGTCTCTGGGGGATTAGACCTAAACTGGCATCAGACATCCCTCTGGCAGCCCAGGAGCCCTCGTGGGATGTCCACTTGCCAGCGGGGAGCAGGCCTAAGCTGCAGTTAGATATCCTTAGTGCAGCTGAGGAGGCAGGAGAGGCTCCCACCACCACCGCTGTACTGGCAGCCATCAGCCTGGCTTGTGGCTGAGCAGAGCTCCCCCTGTGGGAGTGCAGTGAACACCAGGGGGCAGTTCCTGCATTGAGCATCTGCCCCCTGGTGGTCAGTGTGTGTCATAGTGACCAGTCATTCTTAGTCATTCTGCTGTTAGGGTCAATTTGCATATTATCCTTTTATTATATAGGAGTGCCTGGCCAGCCTGGGTGAGGGACTGATGGGTGATTGCAGGCTGGCCACACTCCCTTCAGGGTGGGGGTCCCCGCTCGGGTGCCTAGCCAGCCTGGATGAGGGGCTGAGGGCTGTTTGCAGGCTGGCCACAGCCCCTTCAAGGTGGGGGGTCCTGCTGGGATGCCTGGCCAGTCTGGATGAGGGGCTGAGGGCCATTTTCAGGCTGGCTAAGCCCCCACTGGGGA